GGGCGCGCCCTCGGGCCTCTGCGAGGCGCCCAGCACAGGTGGAGTAGGGACCCTGAGGGAGGGGAAGAGGGAAGGGCGGCCCACTACCTGAGGATGTTGTGCGCCTCCATGCTCCGGTTCTGGTTACTCGAGCACACCACCGCCACACGCAGCGGCGACGACGGCATAGCGCCGTCAGCACAGTCCGCGCTCCCGGCGCGGACTCCCACCCAGCCAGGGGCTTCCGCGTTAGCAAGATGGCGGCGACCGGAAGTCGACAACGCGGAAGTGGAGGCAACGCAGCGTGCGTGAACGCCTGCGAGACTTCCCCGCGCCTCCGTCCCTCGGCTCACAGTCTTCCTAACAGGCGCGCCTCCGTCCCTCGGCTCACAGTCTTCCTAACAGGCGCGCCTCAATAGGCGAAGATAGGTAAATGTGCAACGCTGCACCTTCCTCAACGGTGAGCCGCTGAGGACCGCACTCTTCACTGACGCTACCGCCGACCCTGCGCCCTACGTACGCCGACGTCTAGGACGTCACAACGCCCGCGCCCGACGGCTCCAATAATGACGCACAAAGTGCCGTGCCGGAGCCTAGCTTCACGTCGCAACTGCGCCGTGGGGCTTAGAACCGGTTGGTCGTGGCGGGGGTTGTCAGGTTGTTCCTTGGTTCCTTGTCCACCCCCACTTTTTCGTCGCCCCAGAGTTGGTCGCCTCCCTAGGCCCGCCTAAACGGCAGCCCTAGGGACCCGGCGGTTCTCCTGCAACCGCGCTGTAGCGACAGCCACAACCTGTAAACTGTCTCCGCCAGACTCGCAGGACAGTGCACATCGCTCCCCTCGGAGAATGCTTTAGAGTTTACAGTTTAAGCAAAGTTGTAAAAGTATTGGCGGTGGCTTGCTTCAGTAATCCCAGCTAGGAGGCGCCAGGAGGACCACGTGTACTAGGAGTTCGTGGCGAGACCTTTCTGGAGAGAAAGGGCGGGTTAGGAGAGAATCAGAGACTACTGTACCTGCAAAAGATCGAGTGGAAGGGCAAGTTGACGAGGTCTTGGGTTGGGTTTGTTTGCCGGCGCTGCGACCTGGCCTGCTGTTGAGGTTGTTACCTTACGGTGAAACTAGTCGACGTTTGTGTGCTCCAGTCACTTCCAGCTCTCCGATGCAGTTTGGAATAGGCAGCGAGCTGGTGTTTTGCTCATAGGAGTGCCACGAAAGGGGTGAGAGGGCTGGAAATGGCGAAGTTTCACTGGGGAATCTGGATTGAAGGTGAGCCGGGAAAGCAGGATGGTAGCCTCAGACACCGCGAGCGGGGCGTGGATGGCTCATGCCTGTAGCCCCAGCACTTGGGAGGCTGAGACAGGAGGACCATCCCGTAACATCAAGGCCAGCCAGGGCTACATAGTGAGTCCAAGGCCATCCTGAACTACATAGCAAGACCCAGTCTCAAACACACACACACACACACACACACACACACACACACACACAGTACTCCGTTATATTTAAAACACACACTTTTTAAAATCCATTTATCGCTTGGTGCGTATTTGGGTTTCCAAGATTTAGCTATTACACACTATACCGCTGTAAACGTGTGTGCAGGTATCACTCTGGTATGATGCTTTAAATTCTTTTGAGAATATAGCCAGAAGAATACAGGGTCAAATGCAACCTGTAATCCTAGGTTTTTGAGGAATCTCTACACTGATTTTCACAGTGGTCGCACCGGTCTACACTCTCACCAACAGTGGAGAAGGGTTCTTTTTCTCTCACAGCCCTGGGAGCATTTTTTTTTTTTTTTTTTTTTTTTTTTTTTACCTGAGAATTGAACATAGTACTTTGTGCTTGCAAGCAGGTGCAGAGCCACTGAGTTTAATCGCCAGACCCTGTTATTGGTTGATTTCTTGATAGAAGCCATTCTTTCTAGAGTGAGATGGAATCTTGTGGGGGGGGTTGTTTTGTTTTTTTGGTACTGGAGATCAAACTCGGGACCTAGAGCTTGCAAGGCAGGTGGTGGAACTACTGAGCTAAATCCCCGGCCCTTGGTGTTTTTTTAATGTGCACCTCTTGAATGACCAGTGATGTTGAACATTTTTCATGTATTTGCCATTTCTACTTTTTCATCTGAGAAGTGTGTATTCATCTCAGATGCCATAAGGAAGGATAAACTTGAGACATTTCTAGGTAAATGAATGTACCTTGAAACCACACTCTTAAATTAAATAAATTAAACGCACATATTGTATTGTCTCTCTGATGTGAGAAACAGTGTGAATAAGGACACAAAGAATATTGTGAAATAGGAAGGAATTGTTCAAAATTATATGGAGTGTGAGATACTTTGTTAATAATTAAAATGTTTTATGAGAAAAAAGGTATAATATTAGGAAATGAAAGATAGATTAGCAAATGAAAATATAGTCTAGGGCGGGGTGTAGGGAACAGGGAAAGAGGGAATATTACTAGAACCTCTGCATCAGGTCCTAGTCTCCTGTGAGCCATGACAGCACAAGGTGAATTAATATATGGACAAAAAGTGAGACTTAGAGAAGCAGCTGAGCTTTGGCCTAATCAGTGCCACTCTGGGCGGCAAAGACCTGAAACCCCAAGCTTGCCACACCTTTATTCTGAACTTTAGCAGAAACCAAAATAGCACATGACTCAGAGGGTGTGGCAGATCCTAGAACAACAAGGAACTACAGATGAAGATTTGGTTCCTCCCTGTATGTCTCCAGCTGGTATAGTCCTGGCCTGGAGCATCATCTGGACCATTGAGGTCTTAGCTATGACAGGAGGTAAAAATGAAGTTATGTCTCGACATGCTGTAGCAGGCCTATAGACAGGAAATGTAGGTCCTAATCCTGATTTAATTATGAGATGATTTTTTCCCCTAAAATCATGTAGAATTGTTCCTGAAAGCTGGTGATTTAGCTTAGTGGTGCTGCGTCTGCCTCGAAAGCTCAAGGTCCTGAATTTGATTTCTGGTACCAGAAAAATATACTTTTTTTTTTTTTGGTTTTCTGAGACAGGGTCTCGCTATGTAGTTGAGACTGACCTGGAACTCACTATGTAGCTCGGGCTGGTCTCAAACTCACAGTGATCCTCCTGTCTCAGCCTCCCAAGTGCTGAGATTATAAGCGTAGGCCACCATGCCCAGCTCAAAAACTATTTTCTTTTAAGATCATGATACACAGTGTATTTAGCGTTGTTATTCTCTAATAATTTTTTCAACATTTTTTTTTTCGGTACCAGGGGTTGAATTCAGGACTTTGTGCTTGCAAGGCAGGCTTGGCCACTGCTGAGCTAAATCCCTGGCCCCTTTTTTTTTTTTTTAATAAAATGGCTTTTATTTATCTTGATACTGGGACTCAAACTTGGGACCTTATGCTTGTGAGGCAGGTGGCAACACCACTGAGCTAAATTTCTGGCCCTTATTTTCCTTATTAATATCTGTATTATATCGGGCTGGAGGTTTAGCTCAGTGGTGCTGTCACCTGCCTCGAAAGCCCAAGGTCCCGAGTTTGATCCCCAGTACAAAAAAAAAAAATCTATATTACATTAAAATATTAAAAAGAAAAGACACCACGAGCACTAACTTGGAGGTCTCAGTTGAGTGCAAGAAGTATCAGGGATGCTGGGTGTGGTGCCACACACCTATAATCCCAGCACAAGTAAAGGGCAGGAAGATTGCTTCAGAGATCAGGCCAGCCTCAGCTACATAGTGAATTCAAGCCATGCTGAACTACATAGGGAGACCCTGTCTCAAAAAAAAAGAAAGAAAGAAAGAAAAGACCATGAGCACTAAATTGGAGGTCCCAGTTGAGTGCAAGAATTGTCAGGGAGGGGCTGGAGATTTAGCTCAGTGGTTCTGCCACCTGCCTTGCAAGGACAAGGTCCTGAGTTTGATCCCAGTACCAAAAATAAAAAGGTGTGATGGTGAAACAGCAAACAGCAAACTTTCCATTTGATTGATATTGAGAACACTTCAATAGCAAAAATCCCTACGAAATGTATTCAGAATCAACAGGCACTGGAGGTATCTAGTTTTCCTAAAAGTTTGCTATCACTAGTCTGTGAGAATAGAAAGCACACCAAGAGCCACAGAGACAAAGTAAAGCTTTATTTAACAAATGTGTTTACATTTGGGAGATTAGCCCTGTCCAACACTTGAACAAAGAAGATATGCACTCCAGGAGGGGGTGTTACAAGTGAGGCATCTTTGGTATATATTCATTGGTTTCAGAAATTGATTATGTGGTAGCAAGTGGGCTCAATCATGGTATTGGTTCACACATCATACTTGCACTGTGTTCATTGGGTGATTTAAAACATGAGGTTATATCTCATTTACATGCTGGTAAAATGACAAAAACCTTCTAGAGACAAAGACATTCCTGAGATGCAGAAGTTGGCTCGGACATGCTGAACACAGAAAAAAAATTTTTTGTTTTTTTGAGATAGGGTCTATGTAGTTGAGACTGACTTGGAACTCACTATGTATCCCAGGCTGGGTTTAAACTCACAGCAAGGTCTATGTAGTTGAGACTGACCTAGAACTCACTATGTATCCCAGGCTGGGTTTAAACTCACAGCAGTCCTCCCAAGTGCTGGGATTACAGGCGTGTGCCACCATGCCCAGCTGAACAAAGAAAATTTCAAGTAGGGAATTTTCTGTAGTAAATCCAGTTTGAGCTACAGAAGCAAAATTTCCTTGCAAAATTCCCTTTCAAAGGCACACACCTGTAATCCTAACACTTGGAAGGCTGAGGCAGGAGGATGCTGGGATAGCCGGGAATTCGAGTCGAGGCCAGCCTGGGCTACACAGTGAGTTCAAGGCCAGCCTGAACTACGTAGCAAGACCCTGTCTCAAAAACAAAAAACTGTCAGCAAAATGCTGATGTAACTGGCTGTCACATATGTGACCACAGAAGTTTGAAGTTCAGATCCACAGAGAGAAGAGCCACACAATTTTAAAAAGATGAAGTAAGGAGCTGGGTGGTGTAGTCTCAGTGGTGCTGCAGAGACCTCCACCCAGGACAGTTCTCCCATCCTGGGCCTCTCTCCTCCTGCCCTCCAGAGTCCTCACCTCCTAGGCCTCTTGTATCCTGTACTGTGGCAGGAGGTGAGAGCAGACCCGGGGAGGGTGATTACACCAAGGAGCCCTGGTGTCTACCAAGATGACGGAAGTCCTGAGAGTAGCTGACTCCTAGAAACTGTGACACCAGCTGAATACCCTGTGGAAAAAGGAGGACAGATGTCAGCCAAAGGTCTGGGACTAATTGAGACTAACTGAATCTGCACATGACAATGGCTTAGAATGACCGCAAGACTGAGGGACTTTAAAGTGAAAAATCTTAGTCTAAATCAGCTCTTTGGCTTTGATACAGAGACATTTTCTCTAGCTGTAAATTTAATGGACAGAAGGTACAGCCAGGAGTGGTGGTGCACGCCTGTAATCCCAGCACTCCGGAGGCTGAGGTAGTATCATTGTGAGTTGAGACCAGCCTGAGTTACATAGTGAATTCCAGGTCAATCTCAACT